CACACTGCAGAGGCGCTGGTGCTGATGTAAACGTCGACAGCCGCACTTATCACGAGGGCTCAGCAGACAGACGTTATGATTCATGAGTAAAAAGTTTTTAGCATGATAAGTTATAACGTATCTGATTTTGAATGTAGTATGTAGTATGAATGTAGTAATGAAGTAATCACAATGCCTAAATATAAGTTAAAGAGTGGGAGAGTGACTCATCTCTCAAAACGTGAATTATTGTGGAGTGAGATGACAAGAAGGCTCTGTCACTGCAACTCCGAAATAAGAGCACATTTGAATTAATCAACCGAAACTAAATATTTAGGTTTATGCGATCCTGTCTTTTATATTTTAAATGGTCCGGGGCTGCGTTTTCCAAAAGCTTCATAAGCCTAAGAAGTTCGTAAAAACGCTCGTACGACTGATCTTAATATTACGGTCTGTTTCCCAAAATCATCTTAACTTAAGTAGCACTTGAAAATCATTGTTGATCTACGAGTACTCTGGAGTAATCGTAAAGCCCTAAGTGCATAAGAAGACAGATTTATGCGGTCACCTGCAGGACAATCGGAAAATGAGAAACAAGAGACCAAAAAATGCAGATGAGCTGAAGGCCACTGCCAAAGAAACCTGGGCTTCCATACCACCTCAGCAGTGCCACAAACTGATCACCTCCATGCCACGCCGAATTGAGGCAGTAATTAAAGCAAAAGGAGCCCCTACCAAGTATTGAGTACATATACAGTAAATGAACATACTTTCCAGAAGGCCAACAAATCACTAAAAATGTTTTTTTTATTGGTCTTATAAAGTATTCTAATTTGTTGAGATGCACCTGTATATTTATTATTTAATTAATTTCATAAAATATTTATATGGGAGTATTTGTTGTATTCTCTTTAATTTCTGAGAATTTTAATAAAAAAAAAAAATCCAGATTCCAGACGGTATAATTTTCAATACAGTGAGTTGTGAATTGCAAAAAAACTATTGGTAATTGTACCGAAAAATCTTGATGGTACAAAATAGGCTTAATATAATTGTTATCTTAGAATTTAGAGAAATTGGAGAATTTAATGATTTTGATTAAAGCATCTGCCAAATGCATAAATATAAAAGGGATGGACTATAATTGGGACTTATTGTTATGAATGAGATTCACCCATATGTATGATATTGAATCATGAAATATTTCTGAAATCATGAAAGATGACGAGAATGTTTTGCTTTGATTGTGAAATGAATCTGCAGCCTGTTAGATAGTGGTTTTGTGACTTTTGTAAAAACAGGGTTTGTGAGATTATTTGAAACACAAGCTGATTTAATGAATATCTATGGTTGTGATAATGCCTTTTCACTTTACACTTTCCTGATGTGTGTAACCTTAATATATCATAATATGTTTGTTTTTAGTTCATTAAAGTATTGGACAGTCTTGGTGAAAGGTAAAAACACTTAACTGGTTTTGCAGTATGTGCACAGTGAAACTGGAGAACAGGGACGTTTTAGTATTAAAAATATGCAGGTCTAAACGAATCCCTCTTTTGTCTAGCACTTATAATCTAGCCCATGCTGGCTCTGGTTTAAAACTCATAGCCTAAACTTTTGGTACATTGTTGACTGGAAGTGCCATAAAAATATTATTAAATATTGGCATATTTTTCCAGTTTCTCAAAAAAAAAAAAGCAACACAATTTAAATTAAAATTGCTGCAATTGTAACATACTGTATAATCATCTTGTTATTATCAGAAAATGTAGTTTTTCTGAGCAAGATTATTAAAACTTTATCGTTATAGTTATTGCCCTAGCTGTGAACGGGTCATAAATATTGTCTCAATAATGGCATACTTGAGAAAAAGAAAAGGAGATGGATCTGCATTTCTTATATTTGGCCAGAAATCTATTTTGTTTTTATTCTTATTTTCCCTGTTTCTGTGTCATTTCTTCATATTAATTTTACATGACCTTATTTAACAAATGTAATAAACCATTTACATTGTTTCCCAAGATGGTGGTATTGGAAACAATAAATTTTATATGTTTTTTTTTGTGTGGTAAGCCTTGTGTCTATGTCTGTGACTCCTTTCTAGACACTACTTATTAACAATAAAGTGTTATTAATTGTCTCTAAAATGTAATTATGAACCTACATAAGGCTCACATGCCATGCAGTGTTTTTTTAAATGTTAATCTTTATAAAATTTAATATATTTAATGAAATTGAGTGTTAAAAGACAATAACAAACCTTATTATTCACCCCCTTGTACCCCCTTTTTACAAAATACAATCGAATTAAAAATTTATCATAAAAACTTCACTGCAGTTACGCTATTAAATATTACTAAAATTATACTGCAATTTGTACATTGTACACAAAGTTTGTAAATTAATATAAGTTACAATCTTTTAAAATTTGCTTGTGTTTAATAAAGTTGTAGATGTGAGCATATTATTCCTCATGCAGTCTTAAGTAGACATTAGATGGCGCTAGAGGATATGAAAGATGTCATCCAAGGTGTCGAAGAGTACCTGCCCTTTAAAGATAAACTGATGAAGGTCAGGATTTAACTGTGAAAATTAAATAGAAATTAATATTAATTTACAGCTGTACAAGAACAGTAACAACATTGCAAACAACGATTCATTTATAAACTACTTATTAGTGATTCTGTAACACACGTGACAACGCTTACAGATTAACCTTTGCCTGGGTCTTTATGGCTTATGGTTAAATAAACTGCATTAATTTCACAGTTAACACAAACATAGATCTTTACCCTAAGAGGTATAATTAAACACTATGATGTTCTGTTAAAAAGTATTTGGCTATTCCTTGAAATCCACCAATTAACATTAAAGTATAAATATGAAACAAATTTTGAGATTGGTAATGTTTAACACACACACACACACACTTAACTAAATTTCAGGGGTGTGTCCACCTTGAGACCTTGCTGGGAATGAAACCGCAATGCCTAAATCACCTCAAGTGCACTTGCTTATACAACCCTTCTTCTTCCTTTTGGAAGCAGCATTGGTAATCTGAGCAGATTAGGATCTGCTGTGTTTTCTTAATCCCACCACGATTAAAATAGGATTAGAACTCATCTCCTGGCCTCAGTATTACAGTAACTGCTCAGTGGCACTGACACTCTGTCTTTCTGTCCCATAGAGCAAAGGCACAGCAAAAGGGGTCACTTTTGAACTGTCATCTTTTCACTTTTCTCACACTGACAAATACTGTAGGCTACTATACACATACGTATAAAATTAATGGGCATAATTCAACAGTTTAAATATGTAAATTTGTATTCTACAGGACGACCAACCATGTGTTCAGCAATGGCTGCACAAATTTAAAGACAATATGGGAAAAGGACATTGGGGCTGTAATCGGGGACGAAGAGTGGAAAAGAATTTTGCCAAATACAGGTAAATACGTAAGAGAAGCCAGAGGGCAATTTACACAGTACAAAATCATACACAGGTTCTATCTGACACCTCTTAGACTTAATAGAATGGGTCTGACAAATAATAATGTTTGCTGGAAATGTCAAAAGGACAGAGGTACTTTTATTCACTGTATCTGACTGGGAGTGTCCACTTAT